CTTCTCTCAGCAGAAAAAAACTTAATCGTGATTTATTTCTTGTGATAATTTTCAATATCGACTGATAGGAACATTTTTATCTTGATATCATTTTATGCATCATCCAACCTTATTCACAGGTATACAGCCAAATCAATCTTTCCGCATCATTCATATTTGCTAAATTGACATATTTTTTTATCTTACAAACAAAGCAGGTCACACTTTAGGGTAAAGGATATAAGTAATATATATATAAAAAATAATTGAATTAATGCTGAAATGTTAATGGTTCAGGCGTCTGGTAATTTAGTAAAGTGACTCTGGGAACATGAGAAAAATGTTCTACACTTCAATATTTGATCAAAATTGATTGATTGTGGAAAAATATATTGCTAGATTATTCACCGATTAAAATATGATTGAATCAAGTGGTTTATCGAATTTTTAAATAACGTTTAAAATTCTAAATAAATAAAATCATTGTTGTAGCATGACTGATTTGATTCTAACTTTCTGTGTGTGTGCATATCTCTTATTTTTTGTACAGCCGGAATGGAAGAAAAGGCAAACGGCTCTGTTGACACCAAAAGGTATTATCTCCATGTATAACACATTGTGCATTGACAGATTTGAATGAATGTGTTAAACCACTTTTACAGTTCACTGCACATTAAGATGAATCTGTTTTCCCTCGACCCCACAGCCCAGTGGAGAATGGTCAGATGCCCGACCCTGCCAACTGGGGGGTGGCTGATGTCGTCAACTACTTCAAAGCTACGGGGTTTGAGGAACAAGCCACGGCTTTCCAGGATCAGGTTGGTGCTCTGCTCAAAATTCCGATCACACGATGAAAACAAAGTAGGATGTCAATCAGGTATTTCTCTCTGCACCCGACAGGAAATCGATGGCAAGTCCCTGCTCCTGATGACGCGTAACGACGTCTTGACGGGGCTGTCGATAAAGCTCGGCCCGGCGCTGAAGATCTATGAGTATCACGTGAAGCCGCTGCAGACTCAACACCTGAAGAGCAATGCGTCGTAGCAGCGCATGCTGTCCCCAGCATCCCACCTCAGCGACAATCATCCCGTCAGGAGATCCCAGGTTAGCTGCCGCGTCACAGATTCCTCTTGTCACAGTGGCACCATAACAGGATTTAAATGCTGTATGTTTTTTATAAGCATGGACCCCAAAAATGGGTTGAACATGGAGTCCAATCAGCTGTTTACCCTTTCAGCCATTCTTAATTCTGCTGCTTGAGATATGTATTTTATTTGTCTGAGTGTGTGCTTTTATTTCAAAGAAGAAAAATTTAGGAGGCTGAATTGAATTAATCTGTTTGTTTAGACGTATTTGTAGATAAGATGATATAGTTCAAAACCATGTTTGTTCTGTGTTTCCTGAACACTTTGATACATGCAGACAATTATTCTGATGCGTCCCATTTTGCCCCAAAATCATTTTTTATGCTCGAAGCTGAGCAGCTGAGTCCATGATTCGTCCTTCGCATGTAACAATAAAGCTTTTTTTTCAGACACAAAAAGCCACGTTGATTATCCAGGCCAGAGGCTCCTAACATGAAAAATATTTATGTGTATATATATTCTTATTATTATATTTCCTACCTGTGGTGCTCTCAGCATTTTGTCACAACTGTATTGAAGTGTGTATGACTAATGTATATGTGCAACATAACACTGGAGTTTGAATATCTGAAGCAAAGATTTGCAATAAATGGTGCTCTTTTCTCACCAAAGAACAACATCAGATGAACTTTAATGGCCATGGATTTCTTTTATTTCTTTTTACTCTCATATTCACATAACACGGTCAAAAGCTTTTATCGCGTTTGGGAAATGTTGAGCTGTCAGTTGTAATCTTGACACAAGTATTTGAACGGGCCTTCAAATGCTGACTTATTTATCATTGAAAATTTCATATTTGGATGACAGCTTGATCACTGGCGCCTTCACAGCTTTGCTCGCTCTTTCCTGCGCACTGTCCCTGTGATGTTTCCTGACGGGTTATCCAGGGGAAGAAGTACCTGTGAGGAGGAAAAACACAATAAGATATTATCCAATAATTTCATTACCAACACAGTAAGATTCACTGTCTAAAAAACTCACTTCATCTTTGTTGGACAGACCCATTTTGGTCATGTCGATGGTGAAGTAATGCTGGTTGGGCATGACGATCTCTATTTCCTCCACCTGAAAGACACAATGCTTCACTTTACAGAGTTTTCTGAATGAGCTTGTGTTAAACTGTGCGTGGTGTAGTATTGAACTTAAAATCTTGGTGCTCATGTTGTGAGACTAGAGAAAAGACAGATTCTCTTCTCTTCTTCGAAAGTAAATGTTAGTTTTTATGTTTCGAATCTTTGCCATGTACATATTGACTGTAACGCTCATGTATCCACAAATGGTTGTGACGATGTCGATGTGTCGCTGATGTAAATGTGGACGTACCTCAGGAATTCTGTCCAGGACCAGAACCTGTGTCTCATAAAGGGTCTTCTGCACAGACGGTGAGAACTCTCCACTATCGTAGGGTCCAGCAAACTTTTCAATAATGGTCCCCTTCACACACGTCCTACAAAAGAAGAGACGTAATGATCACTCGATGGAGAAAGTATGTAATTAGACTTGTAGGATTATTCTTTATATTTGATTCGTTGGAAGCATCCGGTAATTTCTTCTTTGTGTTGTTACTTCTCTCTGTCATGCCAACAGCTAACACATTTCGTGAATGTTGTGTTCTCCTTCAAAACTCTTAACCAGATACTTGCCATGCAGCGTCAAAGTTGACATCCTGAACCTTGTTGTAGCGCCACCTTGTGTAGACAGAGGTGCAGAAACACCTGTCTTTGGTCTCTTGAAGAGTAGTGAAGCGATCCCGGAGGAAACCCTCGAAGCCAGACTGGGTGGTTTTCAGCACCGTCATGTTCTTCACCCCGCTGTGAACCACTGGGACGCCTGTGTGGGGCACAGAGCCAGAGTGTGAATCAGAAACACATACTGACGAAGCTCCAGAAAGTTGTAGCTGTGTACCCCTGAGCAGTAGCAGACTGAGCAGGTAGAGGTGTGTCCCTCTGCTGGGTGGGTGTAGTTATGTGTCTCAGTACCTGGACCAGACGTCCAAATATGCAGGTATAGGTAATGTGACCTCAGACTCAATCAAATATATAGGACTTGAAATTTGTTTTAAAATGTAAACAAATGCAAATCATTTCTGAATTGTTTCTTTTTCAATCTTAAATATTAAAATACTGTTTGTGTGTGTGCATGTGTGTTTACCATTGAGATTCTGTTCAACATCGCAGAAGCGACAAGCATCTGGGCTGAGGATAAATGCATGAGAGTGTTCTACTCCATTCTGAGAGGGAGAAAAAAATCTGCATCTTAGGTTGATGATGAATATTTCAACAGTCTCAACTGGTGATAGTGGTCAAAGCTGTGCCCTTTAGTAGCCAGCAGTGCTGTCACATAGTACCAGAGTACACCTCCACACCACTGCAGCAACACAGGAGGTGCCTGTCTGGAGTTTCTGGAATGACAGCATTCTCAGGAATACGTTCTTTAAAGTTCTCCTTTAAATTGTTTGATTAGATGGCACTTTGCACACTCTGCCATCAGAAAGACCGACAGAAGTTTTGATGACTGAATCCTGCCTTTTACCTTCTCTAGCCTTCTCCACGGGGCCTCCTCCATGTAAACTTTGGCCCGCAGCACATGGTTGAAAGAGGTCAGGAAATGGTTACAGATGTCCAGGGAGAACTGCTCGATGGTCTTTACCTGAACAGATGCACATATATAAAAAGAACTGTGAGAGGCTGCAGATTAAAAACATCCCAGTGTTAGGAGGAGCAGTGTAATCTGAGATGAATGGAAACAGGAAGAAGTGGAAAGTTGAATTCCTAATTGGACAAAGTATTTATTAACATGGTTTGTTTGCCCTCGATGTTAATGAGCCATTGTGTCCTTTAGCTGTGGGTGAACAATTGTAACTTGTAAAGTGGTAAACCACGTCATAAACATGTGAAGACCACGTCTACGACTCTGTCTTGTCCAGAAAACTGAAACTGAAAGGTTTTTTTTTTTTACATTACAACTTGTATAAACAGTGATGGGGTTGTGTCATTGAATGTAACATCTCTGCTCTTTTATTCAACTTGTTTTATGGCGGAGGAGGATAATATTTAATTCAAAGTCTAAGTTACTCAGTATGTAGTAAATTCAGCTTTAAAATATATCAGTAAGTAGATGTAGGCTAGAAGAACTGCGTGTTCAACATCACCACCTTATGGAGAATAAAACAAAGGTTTAATCCTCTTTGGGGGTTTTATTTGATTTTGAAAACTAATATGAATCATATCATCAAGTTTGCCTTTTTTCATTTCTATTATTTAGCTATTTCTATATGGCTTTTATAACATTAAATATTGTCTGGCCTTATTTCCACTATAGCTCACAAACATAATCGTGCTAAGATTGTTTTCATATTTTCATATTTAGATATTTATTCTGTTTGTTTTTAATTGTGGATATCAGGGGTTTATCATTTTACATGAAGGTTGAAGTTGCTCTTATGAAATACTATGCTAATTAGCAATACGTTACAGAGTTTGTACATAATATACATCTTTCAGAAAATGTACTTGAGTAAAGTGTAGTGGCACAGGGTGATTTCAAGAGCATGTGAAACTGTATTTGTTCATTAGTATAAAGAGATATTGAGACTAACTTATTCTTTGTGTTTAAAATGGGCGACCTACCCCCTTGAGCTTGGCCAGGGCATGGACGGTGTTCTTGATGGTGTCGGTGGGGATGATGTCTGCGTTGTCTCCAACCAGATAATCCTTGCGTGTTTTGAGTGTGAGCTCCACATCAGCTTTCAGCTCGATGATGGAGTGGTGGCTTCCCTCTCTCCTGATGACCAGCACCTTCACTGAGTTCTTGCCATAGCCTGTTCGCACAAACTCCGCGTTCTGCACACACAGTCAGACATGCTGCAGTTCAGGGTGATGTAAACAGTCATATTCTGATATTTCAAACTGTTTTATATTTCAAATTTGCTGTAAATGTACAAATAAATATTCTACAATATCTACTGCAATATCAGAACTTCAGCTAAACATTATTATTTGATTCTTGGTGTGTACAGAGTCAGAAACATGTAAAATAAATATGTATATGCAGTTTTTCACAGCTCTAACACCTGCAGAGCACTAGGTTTGACTTCATGGACACTGACCCCAAAGATGAGGCAAACTCCAAAACTGAATCAGTGAAAGTAGCTTCTGATCACCTATAGATCATATTGACCACGATCTGTCGTTAAAGAAGAGAAAGACGTCTGTGTCGAACGTAATTCCTGTTACCTGCTCTGCTGCCATGGTATGTCCCCCTCCCAGCAAAACCTGTCTCAACTGAGAGAGGAGGTTTTTATAGAGAGGGTTGTGCAACATTGGCTCTCACGCTATTGGATGTTGTGTTGGGTGAAATATAACCAGTTTTACCTGTTCCATCTTTGTACACTTTTACATATGCAAATGACCTTTTGTGCACGTACAGGAACACAGAAATCGTTTCACAATACTTTTTGTCTACTCTGTGTTTCCTCCTAGTTCCTAAGAAGTATGTACAAATCAAAACAACAACAAAATCTGAAACCACAGTTCTAACAATGCCTTTTAAAACCCTGATGACTATTAATCTATGAATTTAATCAATTTGAATCATCCCCAACTGGGTCCCCTGGGTGAGGGTGTAGAACCACTAAAGAGCAATTTCCCCATTTCACAACTGTTCAAGGCCCAACGAGGTCAAACATTCATATAAATTGAATATTGGGTCGGCAGAACTTTGATTTTCCTTGTTTTCATCCTCATCAGTCCTTTCATGTTTCAGGTTTTTAACAGGGGTCCAAACTCTAATGCACAAACACTAGATAACCTACAGTGTCATATATCGTAATAGATCCATCACATTGGGCCATTTAACTTCATACTTCAAATTTTTTGTTTTTACTGATGCAGGGTTTTGAATGCGGGACTTTTCCTTCTCATGATGTTTAGAGGAAGTGACCACAAAACCACGTTTTTTCAATAAATGTAAGAACGAGTTTAAGCTTTTAAATTGAATAAATTCTCTCACATTGAAAAGTTTTGTGATGTTTACCTTATGGATTTCTGGGTTCTGTGTCATGAATTTAACATTTAACAGTTTATGTTTGACTTCATCTGAAATAAGTTGCAAACACAAATGAGAAAGGTAATTATCACAGACTATAAAAAGGTAACTACACAGCTTGAATTTACATCAAGTTTGATCTCAGTTCCCCTCAATCACTGTCACAGATGATGTAAAAATAGGATGATAGGTCAGATGCTTGTGGTTTTCAGCTCAGTTTCATTGTTAATAATAAAAAATTACTTTGGTTGTATCGAGCAGGTGTCAACAGGTGCAACACTGCAAAACAAATAAAGACTTAAAAATATAGAAAACCCAAATTTTTTTTAAGCAAAGCTACAATATAAAGATTCTCGAAGAGCCTGTCGAGGAGGATGCAAATACTTGAATTTTATTTTGCTCCCCCCTCACCTCTCATGACTTCCTCTTTTGCATATGCAGGCAGATGTGTTGGATCCTGTGTTGGATCATCATGAAGCTGATGCACTAACAAAAGCCTTCAGATTCATCTTGTCTGTTCACAGCAGGGGTTACCTCAGCAGCAGAGGACATTCAGGATGACCTCTCACTTCAGTGTATGCTGTCAGATTGTTATCTTGTTTTTGTGTCACGCAGTTTGTGGCACTGAGATTTCCTGTAGAAATGAAGCTGGTGAACCTGTTGATTGGTGAGTTGATATTTTACATGGAAATGTAACAGCAACAATGAAGCTTTAATGGCAGGATAAATGTGCTACTGGTATTTTCAGTTATAGTAAATTAAATGTCTTCTGTCTTTTTGCAGAGAAATGATATTGTTGATACAATGTTTTGCTATATTGAGCCATCAAACTGATATAATCTGTTTATAATCTGTTCTATATTCCCAATTTGTTCTCTGTTATATATTTACCCCTTCATCCTCTGCAGGTTTATCATCTACAAGCTGCCCAGGTGTAAGATCGGCGAGGTGGGCAGTGGTGTGGACTACATGTACCTGGACTCTTCAGTCAAGAGCTGGCAGATGAGTAAATTCATGATTAACATCAGTCAAGGAGCCGTCGCGAACACACTCAACCAGATTTACGTGGGTGAGGCCTACAAGGTGAGATCATGTCCCCGTTCTTCTGGCTGGTTTCAAACACTGATCCCAGCGTGTCGGTCGATAGAGACCCCGGATCAGAGTTCCTGTTTCTGTGTTGGTGCCAGTTTTCTGAGTCGGCACTCCTGTATTCTATGGGGAACTGAACTGAAGCTGCCCATTAACAAGCTTCCTCATAACATACTGTAAATGACACTGTCCATTCTCATGCCATTTAATATGATGCAGATTTACACATATATGAAGATATTCATGTGTGTAGCATTCTTACAATATTTTTATTTTACCATTAATAAGGAAAAAGGAAAGAAAATGTACAAACAAAAGTTGTTGAGAAAATAAATGGAATATAAGACAAACATCAACTCATATTGAAAATCAGACTAAATACATGGCATTGATCAATCATCCATATCTAAACTAACCAGCTGATGTGCAACTTTTTAAACATCCTTTATTAAATAGCCTCCACACTCATGTATATTTGAATAATGTTATTTTATTTGATTTTCCTTAATTTTTTATTTAAAGCTTATTATCATTATTACAAATATGATGATGATGATTAATATAGACCTAATGAAAAACAGCAGCAGTTAGAAGTAAAAAAAAAAAGTGACATGTTAAAGTAAAAAGTGTAACTCTATATGTATGAACCACATTTTTTCACAGTCTAACAACTCAGCCTATGCACTCTACAATGATGCTCCACCATTCATGGATTACATCCAAAGCTATGGACACACTAAAGGTGCAGTGGATGAAACAATATTCAACTTTGTATTCATTAGTTTTGAGGATCTTGCTTTGATTTCACTGAGCTGAGTTTGAATTGTGGGTGTATGAAAATGCTGGTAACACTCAGTGGGTCATTATCTACTATTACAATATGTAAAAGATGCAAAAGTGCATTACGACAGAATTTACAGCTCAGTTTATGTAGTTATATCTGTCCTTAGACCTACTGTAACTGTACATGTGTATACAGTAGATGTCTGGAGGGTTTTACTCTTAAGACTTATTTTACAAAGCGGTGCATTCAGGGACCTGTGTATATTTCCAGGCAGCTGCCTTTCAGTGCAATGATTTTGCAAAAAAGCACAGATCGATAATTTAGTATAAGGGGGAGGAAATGGTCAAAGAGCATCTGTGTGATAACTACTGTTGACTCTGAGCTGACTTTGATGGAAGTTTGTGTGTGTGCGTGCTGGTTGTCATGTATGTGTGGCATTGTTGGTGCTTTTGTGCTAAAGAGTTGTTTGTATGTATTCTGCAGGGGGGCTGCTCTTTGACCGCTCTCAAGGTTTCTGGCTGTCGCACACCGTTCCCCATTTCCCCTCGTTCCCGGAGAGAGGCTACCTTTACCCCTCCTCCGGCAAAGTCAATGGCCAGACTGCTCTGTGTATGACCTACCAGTATGAACAGTTTCTCCATGTAGGTGAGTGAACGCTGATGAAGCAACACAGCTTGACTTACTCCTGCTCCGCACACATCCCAGACTGGAGGTTACAAAATTCTCTGTTTGCTCAAAAACAAGAAAATGTTTGCCCTGTGATCGGGCCTTATGTAAAGCTGTTAGTAATTTTTTTACATGCAGACATTCATGTGTTTACACACCGCAGTAGAATTTGTACAAAGATGTTTTAAAGTCTGAGTTAAATCAATTATCATGATCCAGTCTGCAGCTTACACATGGAAAATATAAACCTCCAGCACTTAGACTGAGAATGGACAGTGAAGTCGAACACATCCAATCTTATAGTAGAGAAATATTGCTTGTGTTCAATAAGGTAGATGGTGTAAATCAAATTTTTGGATTGTGTAAAAAGCATCATGCATTCATTGAATAAAGACAGTGTATAAAGAGTTGTTCTATGTAGCTGTGGTCTCTCAAAGGAACATCTATATTCAGAGACAGTCAACACACAGTCAGATGTAATGCATCTAGTGTTCATTCAAGCATCTTGATACTGTCAATAAAGCAGAAATCCAGTTAAACCAGAACAAATAAGCATAGTCACGACTTTGTCTCAGTTTGTTTTTTATTTAGTTAGCAGGATTAGTAAATCGTGTAAAGGGGGTAGAGCATGACCGAAGAAAGATTTCATTAAAATTTGGTGCGGTTCCAAATCGGGGCGTGCTTCCAAGACTTTTTTTCACTTTCTTTAACTTTGTGAGATATGGCAGTATTCTACATTTTCCTTTATTTCTCAGAGATCTTAATGAAAAGAGACTTAAGTTTAATTATAAATTGATGCAGATCCAAATAAAAATCTAATGAACTGAAATGTGAATGTTGAGCCTTGTGCTCTTCTGAGTGAGAGTTTAGTGTTTTCTGGCTGTAGTTTTTTACCACAGTAATCATAATGTCTCACTCCTTTCTTCTGTGTGACCCATTCCCCTCCCTCTCTAGCAAAGCAGCTGGTGTATCTCTACCCACGTTTCTATAACTGCTCTGTACCGGCTGCGTTCTCGGCTGACCTGCCTCAGTTGGCCCAGTTATGTGACGGCTCCAAACCACTGCTGACCTCCGATAAGAGAGCGCAGCAGCTCGTCTCAGTCCAGGGAGAAAAGTTTGTCAGTTTTGTCAAATCAGAACACTTCGTAGATGGTTAAGTATTCCTCATGCATGTCGCACATTAACGTCTGTACCCTGCAGATGTACCCATTGAAATACACAAAGCACTTTGTCGCCTGAACATTTACCCCCCAAAAACAATCTAAACTGCAGTTTTAAACTATGGAACTCTGCCAAAACAACTAGCCACTGTGTTGTGTGCACATTTCACATGCCACAGTCACTCTTATCAGATGTACACATTATCGTCTCAGAACAGAGAAGTGAATGAACTCACCCCACGTTAGTTGTTCAAAAGAACCCATGATCCTGATGGTTTGGGATTGCGATCTGCTGTTCACTTTATATATTATTATGGACAGTTGTGTGCACTTGATTTCCCATTTTATTGTCTCATTTGATTTCTAGTGAAAGGCAAACAAAGAAATTCAGGGTACATTTTTGACATTGCTCATTTAAAACATTTATCGCCACACTCATTACAACATAATCACATTTAATAATCAGATATTAAAGTGATAAAAATGAATTTCCAGTTTTGCCCTACAACTTTGCTATTTGTTTCAAACACTAAATTCAAACAGAAATGATTTTATAAGCTTATCATACGTTAATTCTCTTTATATTTTGAGAAATCTCCAAAACAAGATAAAACATATTATTTAAAACACCACATTTTTGTAACGTCATAACCAGGTTGACTTTTGTATATATAGAATTCTTTTCACATTTTTATCTGTAACAAACCCTTTCACTGGTGTTCCCTCAGATATCTACACAGGCTGGGTGGCTCAGGTCCTGAATGCCGACCTGCTGGTGGAGTCGTGGCAGAGGCAAGGTCACGATCTGCCCTCCAACTGCTCCCTGCCCAAACACGTCATGAACATCAAGAGGGTTCATCTGCCGGGATCGGTCCCGTTCGAGTCCTACTACGACCACTCCAAGTGGTGTGTGTCACAGGGTTACGACAACAACGTGACCTGCCTGGGGGACATGAACAGGGAGACGACCCAGCTGAGGCGTGGCGGGGGGCTGATCTGCTCCTTCAACCCCCTGATTTACAGGGCTTTCAGACAGGTGGTGGACTGGTACATTAGCTGTTGATTGAGAGAGACGGACAGAACGATGTGGACTCTGTGAGTCTGACACTCGGAGGTTTTAATAGGTTTTGAATCTGTGCAGGTGTAGGCATCCCTTTAAAGGTGTGTAGGTTTAAGGTGGATCTATCAGCAGACATTCAATTTGATGTTCATTATAACTTCAGTGTCTTATAACCTAAATCTAAGAGATGTTGTGTTGCCTTAGAATTAGTTCTTTATCATTACATAGGGGGCAGGTTGTTTTCCACAGTGTCTGCCATGTTGCACCACCGTGTTTCTACAGAAGTCCAGAGTGGACAAATCATGTACTGGATCTAAAGGTCTAGAGGTCCTTTCACGGTTTTATTGACTTTAAGGTTTCCGTAGTTTCCCCTCTGAGGTGAGGGGTATCCGTTGGTTGCAGTATCATATTCCACCACTAGATATCACTGTGCCTTACAACCTTTTAAAAAGCTACAAGAAATATTTTACACATTAGCTTCTTTAAGAGCTGCTACGCTGAGTGTATCTTAGCCAAGTACACTCATGTGGTTAAGATATCACAGTTAAACATCCCTATTGTATTTTACAGTGATTCTTTCTGTCATAAAGCAAAAAAGTTTTTTGTGCAACGTTGTGTGTCAATTTGATTTTATTAAAATACTTCTGCATCTCAACCTGCATGTGTTTTATTGAATATTAAAAAC